AAAAAAAAAAAAGATGACTGGTAAGGGGATCTTAACCCTTGACATGGTGTTGTCAGCACCACGCTCTCCCAAGTGAGCTAACCTAGGTCATCCCTTTATAGGGATCTGAACCCAGGGCCTTGGTGTTACCAGCACCGCACTCTCCCAAGTGAGCCACAGGCCAGCCCTAGCCCTCATTTTTAATAATTAAATTTTCACATATGAGTATATGACTTCTCTCCCCAACCAAACTTCTTTTTTTATTTCAAAAATTCTCAAGTTTATTGAAATGATCCAAGAATATTGTGCTGCTCAGATGCGTTTTTTAAAATTATTTTGAATAATTTCACTTATTGTAGGAAATTTAGTAACAGAAAAGAAAAGGAACATCAGTAAAAACTTATTTGGACACCTCCTTTAAGAAAGCTGAACACCACAAATCATTTCTTAAAGGTTCTTTTGTGTATTAAAATAGGAAACTTATTGTTAAAGTATTATGCTTATATGCATATTTTAAGGAAATCATTTCTAAAAGCAAAATTTTTTTTATTGAAACATAACTGGTTGCACATACCTGTGCAGTACAGCGTTGAATATCAGTACCTGTGTGCAATATGTGATGCTCAAATCAGGGTAATTAGTGTATTCAGCCTTACACATTGTAATCGTTTTTTGTGGCCCTTTGCCAATTCCAACCAGACTTCTTTCTTTGCACGCACAGTACTCTTGCTCTGTTATTTGCATGTAAAGGCTATTCAGAAACTGTTAAGTGACGGCTTAGGTCGAAGCTGAGGGCCCCTCCACTGTAGCAGCTTTCCTGGCAAATACTTCAGCCCTATTAGTGCCTTAACTTAAATTCAGCTACTCCTTGGAAGGCACAAATTCAGAACTGCCAGGGCTAAACTGTTAAGCTGGGCCACTAAGATCCCAGCTTAACCCTATGTCATTCTAACTGTACTACCTACAAAGGTTACTTGTATTTTTATTTCCCAAAGAACCAAAGGCTAATAGGTTACAGTCTGAGCACTCAGCATCCTGGGCTGTATCTCAGGGTCCTCAGCATCCTGTGATACAAAATGCTTGCCCAGCAGGAAGCGCAACGTGTAGTAAGCCAATGAGAGAGCAAAGTCAAAGGTTGGAGAAATGCTTTCTGCAGGAGAAAGGTGACGTTTCTGCTTTAGATTGAATGGGGCTAGAAAATATAAACCAGCCAAAGCATCCAAAAAGGGCAGGCCGGTGACAGCAGCAGGAATGAATCAGCAAGCTGCTTGCAGCTGGTACCATATATCTAGAGCTGGATCCCCAACTTTAAATTAGGCACTGTGATTTACAGAACGACTAATTGGCCTGGGGTCATAACACGTTCCAGTTATGGCCCAGTCAGAGATAGAGTGAAAGCCCGATCAAAACATCTAACCACATTGTATTTTCATTTTTCTGTCGGAAAATGGAGGGAAATAATGCAGTCCAGAACTTTTGTATGGGAGAATTCAAAAGGATGTTAATTTTTTAAAAACCCAATAACATGTTTTTCACATTACACTATGAGAAATGTAATGTGATGCAAGAATTACACCAAACTTAAGACTGAACTTCAGGCTGGTTTTGTCAATAATTCTGTAACTCTGCTTTGCTGTATGGATAAACCCACGCATGTTTGTTTCTTCAAGAGCAATAGTTTCTTCAAAACAGCAGTGACAGCAATAAACTATGTTGGATTTCTTTCATTTGTGCCTTAATCTTCTGGGGGCATTTGGGCTGGTGGGGAGGGGAGGGATGTCTGCTTCATTTCTTCAGCTCTGCCTTTTATGAGTCCAAACAATGATTACACTTAATGGTGCATTTGCTTTTTCCGTTTCTCCATCTCTCGCTTCTTTCTCCTGAGTGCCCGTTCCTGCCTCTGGCTGAGCAGCCTGGCAGGTTGTCAGATCACGTCAGTCAAACCCATGATCTGACTGATACTGTCCCCACTGAATTAATGGGATCAGCTCATCACCGGGCACTGAAAAGACCTCAGCTTCTCGTATTCCTCCTGGTTTCTTCCTTCTCTCTATTATAACATTGCCCTTGCTGAATCTTCCGTGACTTTATTACCTAGAGTCTTCTCCTAATTACTAACCACATTTTTCAAAACAAATTTTTATGCTCTAAAAACTCTCTATCCTTTTATTCCAAAATATCATTGAAGTGCTTTTTTCTACCCATTAGTCCCATCTTGCCCCACATCGACACCTATTATTATGATCCTCTTCTACTTTTTTTCCTCCTCCGATAACTTTTTTATCTTTCCCTAACAACATTCTTTCTCTACTAGTTCTGCATCTGGGCTTAATTTAACGAGGACGTGGCTCAACTCTCCATTTCACTTGGCACCTTTTATTAATGAAGCAGCCTTAGTACCAATCTGAAATCAAACCTTAAGTAGATTGTTCCCAAGGATATCTCTAGTTTTTCATGTGGAATTTTGCATTTTTTTTTTTCTTTCTTCAGACAACACTGTCATTTAAAAAATTTTCTCTGGTGCTGCCACAAATAGAAAAGTCACAGAAATTCAATCTTTAGTCAAATGTTGTATCTATAATGCATTATTTATGAGCATAGGACAGCTTTTAAAATATATCCTAACATTTAAATTTTAAGTTCCTTTTTTACATTTATAAGCTTAAAAAAGAGTTTACGTGTATGATAAAAAAGCAAATAACCATTAAATGTCAGGAAATATTGCATCTCATTTCAGTAAACATAATCCTCATTCAAGATATCCCCCATTATTACAAGATCAGTATAGACAAGATAGGTTATCACCACCACTACTAACATTTAAGTTTTAATTTATCATTTTAAAGCATGTCAATCACTGAGAAATAAGGAAGTCTTTGAAAGGCTTTTATTAATTTGTTGAAGATGCCTCAAGATACTAAAACAATATTTTTATATATGCAAATACATACGTGTATGTGTACCTACTGTTTTATGAAGTTATATATATGTGTATTACACTGCCATATAGGACATACGTCAGTAAAACTTTAAAAACTGAGAAAGCAGTGAATCAAATCTACTTTGTATAAAATATAGAGAAATACTAGAGAATTTAATATCAGCAAACATGTTCCCTTTGAAACGGCAAATTAGATGTGCAAGAGGATTTTGGTCACACTTCAAAGAATAATGTGCTGAGATGGAGAGCTTTTCTGTTTACTCTTGCTCTCACCGGTGAGGTTTTTCTATGTTAAACAGGTTTTTGATTACTTCAAAGCATGTTTGAAGTCCTCATTCTGCACAGCTCATGCACAAAGACAAATATCCTTCCAAATGTGTGCAACTAATACTGCTACACATCATATCTATAAGTTAGAAGAACCTGTGGTTTCCTATTTAACACTGAGTCAGTGCCTCTTTTATTTAGCTATGACAGTGAAGGTCGTCTGACAAATGTTACATTTCCAACTGGAGTGGTCACAAACCTTCATGGGGACATGGACAAGGCTATCACAGTGGACATTGAATCATCCAGCCGAGAAGAGGATGTCAGCATCACTTCAAACTTATCCTCAATTGATTCTTTCTACACCATGGTTCAAGGTAAACGCAAAAGCATAATTTTAAACTGTTAATTTTCAAAAACCACTAGCACCAAGTAGAATGTGGCAACCCCTGTGTTCCAAGATGAACCAGAAAAGGGGAGGTGAACATATAAACCTCCAGAGGTACTGATGAAATAATCTAGAGTTTACATATAATAATTATTTAGTCATAGAAACTTTTAAAATCACATAACACATAAAACAATCTTTTCCCATTCCCATTTAATAAAGCAACTTAATTCCATCTCCTCACAAGCATCATCAGACCATTTTTGAGTCACTTAATGCAGTTTTCCAGAAATGTCACCTTCACTGCCATGTAAGTACAGTAGTTAGAGACATAACACTTTTTGAATCCATGTATAATATGGTTTTGGGGTCCGCATATGATGGAAATTCTATCACAAATTCCAAGTACCCATTTAAATAATATCTGGACTTTCTGTTGTTTCATTCAATCTATCCAATATCACCGTAATGGAACTTCCTGCCACATTCCCTTTTAAACTGATCTTGAAAAAGTTGTTTACAATGACATTTACAATTGTGAGGTCACAATTCTAAGAATAACTAGTAAATGTGATAAACTTCTTCAAGTCATTTTTTTAATATATATTCCATCAGGTAATCTCTACAATCATCTAAAACTAGTATTGCTTGAATTCATTTCTTCTCCAAACGGTCCTATATTATTGCAAAATTTTAAATTGAGGCAGTAGCCTACAATATGAGAGGGCTTTTTGTACAAAATATGACTCCTTTCTTAAAGTCAATTTCAGGGGGAAATATCACCTATTTTTGATAGACAAGATATAGATACTAATTCCTTCAAAGGATCTTTGCAAAGGATCTAGGGATCAGTGGAGGGGAGGGGAGCCTTCTACGACCTTAGGGATAGAAAGACAGCCTCCTACAAGAGCACATACTTGGCTCTTTACATTGACTTCACATCTAATGGAGGCTGAGCCCTCATTTCATTAGGCAAATGTGAAAAAGAAATCTATTAAAGTGGAGAAGAACTTTAAATTCCCCCAAAGTTTGCCTTTAATATTCAGCCAAACCTCTAACAGCATGAAATGCCAGAAAGCAAAATTGTTTTGCTACTTTCTTAAATGACATCATTAAGTGCTCTTTATTTCTAGTCAACATTTTTTAGATGCTTATATCCTGTCTAACCACATAACCCTCCGTGTGTTTAATTCCTATCTAATGGTTTATATTTTCTGCTGCTGCTTTTTTAGATCAGTTAAGAAACAGCTACCAGATTGGTTATGATGGTTCCCTTAGAATTATCTATGCCAGTGGTCTGGATTCACACTACCAAACAGAGCCACACGTCCTGGCTGGCACAGCTAATCCAACAGTTGCCAAAAGAAACATGACTCTTCCTGGTGAGAACGGTCAAAATTTGGTGGAATGGAGATTCCGAAAGGAGCAAGCCCAAGGAAAAGTTAACGTCTTTGGTCGTAAGCTCAGGGTGAGTGGGTGCTGGAGAATAGGGGGTGGCTGCCCGGGCCCGCGCTGTGTAGGTGACCTGTCTGTGAGGACACGGCCCGTCTCCTAGTCACCCTCTTCTGTGTGCACGGAGTGTGAGGGCCACACTGAAGGTGAGGGATGGCATTCTGCCTCAGAGCACGGTCAGAGCCAACCATTAAGCCATTAAGATTGCTCATAGTAAACGCTGCTTGTTTTAGAAAATGTCTTTCTCAATATTTCTATGATTAAAAATAAATTCTTTCCTGGGAAATTAGGAAATTGCAATCCCAAAGAGCCTGGATGTCAATTGATTCTTGTTTTACTAATATTGTCTTAATAATCTTATGCTGTTTCCTTCATCTACTCAGTTAGGAGGGATGGCTCCTTAATGTGGACATTGGGATAAGTAAGAATTGGTTTAAATATTGAAAGTTTTCTAAATCATAAGTATGTGTATTGAAAAAGATAAGCTGACCGTTGACAGATGAATTCTTTCTTTACATTCTCAATATTTTTAAGCTACAGTTTGGGCATTTGGAAGATTGCCAATCTCAGAACCTAACTGCTACCTCTTCACTGTTGATGGAAAACCCCAATTTATATTACTTTTATGAGAAATATGGTATTTCTGATTATGCTAGTGTAATTGAGCTTTGCAAAATGTTCTCTGCATTTGCTTGTTAGGTGTTCTTTTGTCCGTCTTACATTGTGGGCCAAATGTAAAAGGCAAGCTGTGATTTATGACAGCTATTTGGTAAAGACAACATAGATTAAATACTGACACATAAGTTGCAAGAAACCACCTTTGGCTACTATATCAATGGAACCTGATTCATTCTTTCTGTTACTAAACAAATTTTAGTTTATCAAACAAATGTACATTTTTCTCCTAACATTACTTCCCTTGCCATTTTAAAAAATTACTTACAATCAAGCAGGGAAAACAAAACATGGAGCTTACCATTAATGTCCTTTTATCTACACCAAAAATAGTTAAATTATTATCCTAAAAAGGCAAATATTATATACCTTGGCAATCCTTCAGGGTAAGAAACAACTACTAAATATTGTCTCTGGCTATTTCCAAGAAATAGAAATGAAGTAAAAAAAAAAAAAAGTGTAATCGATTTTGATTCAATAAATAAAATAAAATTTTTTAAAAAGTGGATTAAATACAGACTGTATCCAACTTATGTCTGCTTCGATTGCAAGAAGACATTTGGGTCTGTAAATACATGGTCTTCTGGAACCAATGCTGTGTGCTGCCCACCTCACCCATACCCAGGCTGTGGGAGCTAGGATGCCCTGGTTCCAATCAGTTCTGGANCCCACCTCACCCATACCCAGGCTGTGGGAGCTAGGATGCCCTGGTTCCAATCAGTTCTGGACTGCAGCGCAGTGAGGCTGGAGGGTAGGTTAAGTCAGTGAAAGGACTGAGAAGAAAACGTAATAGAACATTAGAGGGAGAACAAGATTGGGGGTGAAGGTAAAGTGATGGGCAGGAAAACAAACTCCAGACTTCTTGCAGGTCACTGTCACAGGGTCATGGTCTGTTGCCAAAGTCAACTCCAGCTCCTGCCTTTTCTCCCGAGCCTAGGAATCTGTAGCTGCCTGCACCCCCAGCTCTGCCAGCACTTACTGCTGCTTCCCAGGGCCCCTCCTCTCTTGGGCCATTGCAAACTGGAAGCTGGTTCACAGGCTTTATCCTATTCCACTCTGCTTGAAGCAGGGGGAATGCACACGTATACGTACAAACACGTGCATGCACTCACGCGTGCACACAGAGTCACACCTATTCTCAGACACAGGACTTCATCAGAATACACAGACATACTGCTCTGTGCTCTACTCACTCAGCACACCAAAGAAGACACAGCACTTAACTAGAATTCAGAAACTACCAGTTCTAGATCAGGCTGCACTTTTTACTAATAGTAAACGTTATGGGAAAGTCCCAATATCTCTGAATCTGTTTCTTTATCTATAGCATACCTATATGATGATATAGATTATGTAATATTATCTAGATAATATCACATTATGATATAGATATATATAGTAGTTATATTACAGATAAGTAAAATGTACCCTACACTGCCTGTGTTTCACACAACTCCTACAAGAATCAAATGAGACAGTGTGAAAGTACTTTGAAAATAAAAAGCATGGTTATATATTCCCTAACCCTAACCCAGAGAGTCTCAACCACATACACAAACATTGGCCATTTCTCCCCACACGACAGATGGGTAGGAAAGAGCTGTTCAGCTTGCTGGATAGAAAAATGTCAGTGGAAAGAGGGAAGAGTGAGAAAGAAAATGTTATCCAGAAACTGGCCACATAACTGCTTGCTGTTTGAAACAAGTTCTATCTTTGCTTTGAAACAAGTTATATCTAAGTGTATCCATTTTTTCTTTGCAACACTGCTTTTCTAGACATAAAAAGAAATTGGGGATAAAGAAAACGTATATATACACAATGGAAAACTACTCAGCCATAAAAAAAGGAAATTCTGCCATTTGCAGCAGCACGGATGAGCTTGAAGAAAATTATGTTAAGTGAAATAAGCCAGGTGCAGCAAGAGGAATACCACATGTCCTCACTCATATATGGAAGCTGAAAAAGTTGATCTCATAGAAGTAGAGAGTAGAATAGTGTTTTCTAGAGATTAGTAAGGGAGAGGGAAGGAGAGAGGGGAGAGGGTGGTCAATGGATATAAAACTGTAGAGAGATAGGAAGATAAGATCCAGTGTTCTGCAGCACTGTAGGGAGACGACAGTCAACAACAGAGTACTGTGCAACTTCAAGTAGTTAGTTGAGAGGATGTTGATTGTTCTCAACACAGGTGG